AGGTGAGTGCACTTCAGGTGTTTCTCACAGGTGAGTGTACTTCAGGTGTTATTCACAGGTGAGTGTACTTCAGGTGTTATACACAGGTGAGTGTACTTCAGGTGTTCTCACAGGTGAGTGTACTTCAGGTGTTCTCACTCACCTGGGCGGCGGCCCTCAGCTTGGCGCTGATGTACAGGTTGGAGTCGGCTCTGTCTCCCACCTGAAACTCAGAGGAGTACACAAATACTGTGGAGAAATACTACTGCCAAAAGTACTATGTTCAGTATGTGACAGTATTAGTACCATACATACAATAAGTACAAATCCTGTGCATTCCTGAGTACTCCTGTGTATTCCTGTGTATTCCTGTGTATTCCTGAGTACTCATGTGTATTCCTTTGTATTCCTGTGTATTCCTGTGTATCCCTGTGTATCCCTGTGTATTCCTGAGTACTCCTGTGTATTCCTGTGTATTCCTGTGTATTCCTGAGTACTCCTGTGTATCCCTGTGTATTCCTGTGTATCCCTGTGTATTCCTGAGTACTCCTGTGTATTCCTTTGTATTCCTGTGTATTCCTGTGTATTCCTGAGTACTCCTGTGTATCCCTGTGTACTCCTGTTTATCCCTGTGTATTCCTTTGTATTCCTGTGTATTCCTGTGTATTCCTGAGTACTCCTGTGTATCCCTTTGTACTCCTGTGTATTCCTTTGTACTCCTGTGTATCCCTGTGTACTCCTGTGTATTCCTGAGTACTCCTGTGTATTCCTGAGTACTCCTGTGTATCCCTGTGTATTCCTGAGTACTCCTGTGTATCCCTGTGTACTCCTGTGTATTCCTGAGTACTCCTGTGTATTCCTGAGTACTCCTGTGTATTCCTGTGTATCCCTGTGTATTCCTGTGTATCCCTGTGTATTCCTTTGTACTCCTGTGTATCCCTGTGTACTCCTGTGTATCCCTGTGTACTCCTGTGTATCCCTGTGTATCCCTGCGTATTCCTGTGTATCCCTGTGTACTCCTGTGTATTCCTGAGTACTCCTGTGTATTCCTGAGTACTCCTGTGTATTCCTGTGTATCCCTGTGTATCCCTGTGTATTCCTGTGTATCCCTGTGTATTCCTTTGTACTCCTGTGTATCCCTGTGTACTCCTGTGTATCCCTGTGTATCCCTGCGTATTCCTGTGTATCCCTGAGTACTCCTGTGTATCCCTGAGTACTCCTGTGTATCCCTGAGTATCCCTTTGTATCCCTGTGTATTCCTGTGTATTCCTGTGTACTCCTGTGTATTCCTGTGTATCCCTGTGTATCCCTGAGTATTCCTGTGTACTCCTGTGTATCCCTGTGTACTCCTGTGTATCCCTGTGTACTCCTGTGTATCCCTGTGTACTCCTGTGTATCCCTGTGTACTCCTGTGTATCCCTGTGTATCCCTGTGTATCCCTGTGTATTCCTGTGTATCCCTGTGTATCCCTGTGTATTCCTTTGTACTCCTGTGTATCCCTGTGTATCCCTGTGTATCCCTGAGTATCCCTGTGTATCCCTGAGTATCAGTCCAGTTACTGATTAAATGAAGGTCACCATGTGTTCTGGCAGCTTGGTGCTCTCTGTCCTCCTGAGAGACCTGCAGCTGCTCAGGAGATAATACTGCTGTCAGAGTACTAATACACACTGTGCAAATACTCTGTTACAAGTACAAAACATCTTAAGTAAAAGTACAAACGTGCTAGTATTCAAATATACTAAAAGACAACAAAAAAAGACAAAATGTCTCGGTTCACAAGTACAACAGCTGCTGACAGATACAGTAAATACTCAGTAAATACTCAGTAAATACTCAGTAAATACTCAGTAAATACTCAGTACCAGTAGTTGAGTAAAAGTACTCAGTGTTATTATGGGATGTTCCTCACCTGCAGCACCAGCAGCCCGGGCCTGAACCCCGACAACACACTCCTCATCTCCTGAACCTCCATCTGCAGACGCTGCCTCACCAAGCTGCACACACACACACACACACACACACACACACACACACACACACACACACACACACACACACACACACACACACACACACACACACACACACACACACACACACACACACACACACACACACACACACACACACACACACACACCACACACACACACCCACACACACACACTCTCTTAGTATTCATCCTGAACTGTTTGATGCTGTCTCAGGTGGATCATGTGACTCACCTGGCCGTCTTGTTGCCGCTGACAACAGTTGCCACGGACCGCCTGCTTCCGTGGCAACCGGCGGCACGGAGACGGAGCGAGAGACAGACCAATGACATCATTGCTGAGAGACAGGTGAGAGACAGACAGGTCAGAGACAGGTGAGAGAGAGGTGAGAGATGGACAGGTAGAGACAGACAGGTGAGAGACAGACAGGTGAGAGAGAGGACAGGTGGGAGACAGACAGTTGAGAGACAGACAGGTGAGAGACAGACAGGTGAGAGACAGACAGGTGAGAGACAGACAGGTGAGAGACA